GCTAGTTGTGAAGATGGTCTGTTAGCATTTATAGAGCAGTTAGCAGTGAGCATCTGCCAGGTACCATGTTCTTTGTTTACCAGGAACCTCGGTTAATCCCTACAACAACTCTTAGTAGGTTCTAGACTATTATCCTCCATTTCCTAATGTGGAAATGGGTGCAGAGAAGTCAGGTAGCTTCCTCAAAGTTATCTTGCAGCTGGGTTCAAACTCACGTGCCTTCCTGCAGTTTTGTTGACCCTGAGCACTACGCTGTTTACTCTGATTATCATATTTTTCTCCTCCTTCCTGTTAGGTAGTGAGTTGACTGATGGAATCCCCCAATTCTGCCTACGAACAGGATATAGAAATTCATCCTTTCTGACCTTTCCAAATACCAAATGAATGTTAACAGCTTTTATATAAAACTGACTTTTATTACAATTAAAAAAAGAACAAAGACAATTTAATAAGTGCCTTTAATTACAATGTACCTGCTATTTACATGTAATTCTACTTTTATATACAGCTTGAGTAAAGTTCATTACATGTAAACTATAACATATTACAAGTTAAATTCCAGCCTTTTCTGAATAGTCAGAATTGAAATAGTACCAGCAGAGACACACAGAAACAAATACACATTTAAGTTCTTTAAGTACCACTATTGGATGGATGAGCAAGATCTGGCCATAGAAGAGAATTGGGAATACATGTCAAATCGAAACATTCTTAACATGACTAATAGTATTGCTGTTATTTAAGCCCTAATCATAATTAATTGAATCAACACAACTTCAATGTATATAGCACCTTTCTTCCGAAGAGTTCAAAGCATTCATGCTTATCTATATCATCTTATTTGTCCCCATAACATCTCTATGAGGTAGGCAATGGTTGGTATCATTATCCCCATTTTCATATGGAGAAACTGAGGCACAGAGAAGTTAAATCATTTGCTTGAGGTCACATAGTAAAGTCAGTGCTGGAACAGGGATGACAGCCCCGTGCTCTTCTCTCCAAGACCAATGCTTCTCTTTAGTTTAAATGATTTCATTTGAGAATTCAACATCTCGATTCACTTTTCCAAGAAATAAAAAGTGTATTTTTTTTTCTCCCATAAAAATGGTTGAAACACTGTAGGCAGAAAACACACACACTCTGGGATAGATTGTTGACTGGTGCTATATTCTTCTAGAAAGAGCTTATGGAAGTATTTTTTAACAGGAGTTTATTTTTCCAGTTAAAGCAAAGTTAGAAGTCTTTAGAAACATATTTAAAAGGATACTGTAGTCACCTACAAATGAATAGTTTTAGGAGTTCTATTATGTTATCCACAAATCAGATTTATTCCTGAGTTTAAAAAGAAAATATCTAAACTATAAGCTAAATCTCTGAAAAATTTTTTCTCATGTGCATGCATTTAATTTTTTATTTCTTAAGAGACTCAGAGCAGTAGAAAGGGAGTTAAAATACTAATTTTCCAGAGAGACACAAGTTATGATTTAGATAATAGTTCATCTCCCAAAGATTCATGTTTCAAGATTTGGTCTCAGTTGGTGGCAACCGATAGCTCCCTAAAGTTCATTGAGACTTGGTTGTATTATACAGGTGTTGAATAAAAACTTAACCCTTTCATAGAACCTCACAGTTGGGTCTTCGGGTGTGATAAGGTCATTAAGTTGGAAGCCCCCTGGGTTCTGGCGTGTTTATAAGGAAAGGAAATGAAGTAGGCAGAGCTAGTTAGCGTGGATAGAGATCATACCCCCCGCTCAGCCCAAAGTTCTGCTTTGTCTACTCTGTAATGTCTTTGGACTTCCCAGCCACTGGACTCCTAAGTTAATAAACCTTAATATTCTGTAATGATATTCTTATAAGCAATGCAATAATGAATGAAGACCACACCCAATGGCAGGAAGCCTTGCTGTATCAGTTAGTTTAAATTTCACTTCTAATCCCTACCCTTTCTCCCTGTGCAGAGTCCCATAGATAGTTGGTACTTAGGGGGAAAAGGATTAGGTTTTAAAAAGAAGTATCAACAGCTGAAGCATACAGAAAGCTCTCAAACACTGGTTGAGTTAAACATAAAATTTAGCTTTCTGGACATTTCTCACATTGTTCCTCCCAAGAGACATGCAGTGCTAAGGGCAGTGCCATTTTCCAGGTCACTGGTAGGCGGTCGAGGGATAGCACATAGGAATTAAGGTTCTGGCATGGCTCCAGGAAAAACAAGAACAGCCTGTATTCAAAACATAAATGTACAAAAGAGAAAGTAAGCTTAAGGATAGGTCATGAATGTCTAGTTAGGCCCGCCTAGGGGTTTTACATTAAAAATACATAGAATGGTGCTAAAGGAATGTTCAGATCCTTTAACTATAGACCGTGGGTTTTGGTTGCAGTCTCTTCCCCTAGGGAAGGGTACTTGCTATCTTCTTTTAGGGAAGTCTTCACTTCCTAAATGGAAAGCTAAAGGTTAAAACAAGGTCTCCTTAAAAAATAATAATAATAAAAAAAAGCGAACAGTTTAAACTCAACAGTTTTAAACTCAGTCTGTTGAGTGTAAAAACCAAACTAAACGAAACCAGATTAGGACATGACAGCAACATTTTGGGTTGTTGGAAAAGTCATGATGCATTTTTGTACAGTAAAACACAGAAAAATACATCATGACTTTCCTGATGACCTAATAGTTCTGATAGGCTCTTAGCCTTAGCTCTCCTCTTTAGGGTAGCTAACTGCTGCACTCAGTGGGTTTTGAAAAAGGTCTAAGAAGGGGACCAACAGATGGCGTAATGGCTATGTCGCTTGACTCCCATGTAGTCGACCGTGGTTCAAGTCCTGGTTACGGTAGCTTAAACTTACGTCAGGCACGTGTGCATGCATGCCCAAGATCCCAAGAGGAGAATGGAGGAAAAGGGATTGTGGCATTGCCATCCCCCCTTGGGGAGTGATTTCTCACTTTCTGTCTCTCTGTCTTTCTCTGTCTTTCTGGCGAGCACATGTGCTCTATAGCAAAAACTCTCTATTTAAATTTTTTTAATTAAAAAATGCATAAGAGAATGAGCAGATATTCTGATAATTCTGAGAGAAAAATATATAATAGTATATTTAAAGAATTAACTCTGATACTTACAGTGAAGCTTAAAAAAATCCAAACTAAGGGGTCAGAGGGTGGTGTAGCAGTAATGCAGCACTCCAGCGGCTGACCCATGTGGGTAAGTTCTGAATCTGAATGCAGAAACATCCGTGGGGAGAAGTGAGTGCGAGTGGGTTCATGAGGTGCTAAAACTGGGTGAAGACCCTGTTGGGGATGCCTGCCTCTCGGTGTTTCTGACTGTCTCTTTTGCTCATGTAATAAATGAATCAAAACTAAACACATTCTGGTTTCTTAACATAGAAAATGAGAAACACAGCTGCTCTGTCACACTCTTGCCCATGCTAGTATTTACATACTTGAAAGACCAAGGGATTTTTAGAATCTATTAAGTCCATATTTAGATACTTGAACATTCTTGGTTTCCTTCAGACTTGGGGGTATAGAGTTAACCAGTTATAACTGTTAAAATTTATAAGCACTATTTTCTAGTAGGAAAGGACATGTTACAGTCCCATGGCTAAAACATTTTACCCTCGATTCATTTTACAAAAGATGAATTCTGGCCTAGCAAGTGGTATGGTAGTTAACGCATTGGATCCCACATGACCAACTCCATGGGTCAAGTTTTGGCTCCATTGACTTGAAAATCATGCCAGGTGTATGCATGCATGCCCAAGATCCCAAGAGGAGAATGGAGGAGAAGGGATTGCGGTGTGACCATCCCCCCTGGGGGGTGTTTTTTTGCTTTCCCTCTCTATATCTCTCTCTCCAGCAAGTTCATCTGCCATATGGCAAAAAAATCTAACAAACAAACAAACAAGCAAGCAAAAGCAAAAATCTTACAAGAAAGATCTTTTTGTCCCAAAATAGTCAGCTTCCTCCACTTTTCAGTAACACCTGGTCTGATGTGGTTTAGGAATCTCCCTTTAACATGCTGGTCAGTTAGGCTGTTCCCTCACTAGAGACACAGACCAGGATGTTGAGTTCACTGAGATTTTTGGATTTAAAACTAAGGTTTTAAAATTCTGAATAGGGAAGGCAACTTTCTCTTGTATGACTTGGACAATTGGACCATTACCAATTGAAGCAATGAATAAAAATGCACTGAGTGTCATGAATCATTTTATAATATTTTTGAGTAAGGGGAGTTTTAAAATTGCTCAGAGCCACCCAATAGACAATAGGTCATTTAAAAAATAATAATTAATGTGATTTATTATCAAGCACAAAGTTTGGTAACCAGCCCGGAGAAAGGCAAGCAAGTCTTTCTCAGGGAACTCAGATAAAAGGGTTAAGAATTTTGAGACCAGCAGTTGGCATAATGGCTATGTCGCTGGCCTCCCATGTAGTCGACCGCGGTTTGAGTCCTGGACCTGGTGGCTTAAACTCATGCTGGACACGTGTGCGTATGTGCCCAAGATTTTGAGAGGAGAATAGAGGAGAAGGGATTGCAGCATGGCCATCCCCCCTGGGGGGGGAGGGTGATTTCTCACTTTCTGGCTCTCTCAAAACCTCGTCAAAAAAAAAATAGAATGTAAGTTTGTAATTTAGCGTAAAGAGTTTTTCCACTGGTTTGGCTCAAAAGGGCAGGACATCTGGAAGTTGGGGCTTCTCAGTTACGGGTGGATTTTACAATTTTTAGATTGGTGATTGGAAAGGAAGGTCTGTGTCTCAGAAGGAGAACAGCCAGAAAATGTACCTTAACAGAGATAAGAAGGCTTAGTATATATAATAAAGATACTACGCCTGGGACTGGAGGTAGCATCCCACTATCAATAGTCTGTTAATGTTTGTAGGCCTCTGTTAATATTGTGCACAGTGGTGTTTACAACTAATTGATCATAGCCAGTGACAGTAGATCACTTTTGGGGTAACCATTTTTATGAGGGAAAAAAATGCCTGAACAATGAAATACCAATTCCTATTTGTAGACTTTTGTTTGCTCAGCGATATATTTCAAACTTTCCCAGAAGACATGAGGCATGTTAATACAACACAATCATTTAAAAGGTAACAATAAAACAGTTCACTGGTGCCAGTTTAACATAAAGCAGTCTGAGAAATGACAATTGTCAATCTTTGCAATATTATCCATGGTGATGTGAGGCAGAATACAGTACATTTTTGAAAAATACCCATAGTATTTAAGTGACAAAGAAAACTTACTGTAGTAAGATAAATAATTACCAAATTGAGTGCTTTTAAAACATTGCATTCAAAACTTACACTGTATTTCTCATTTCATCTTACATTAAGGCAATTTGAACTATTTCTCAGTTAAATAAAAGAAGTTGGAGAAAAACAATGAGATATTTCACAGATATTAGAGATCAAACGTAACTATAGATTTAAAAATAGCAGAAGGATAAAACACACAAATGCTTGTTCTCTTCTGGACCATGATTTTTAAATTTAATTTGGTAATTTCAGATAAAGATGGTAATTTCTTGTGGTTTCTGGACTGATCTGTTTAAGTAAAACATTTTCAGTTAAGTGTGTTCAACTACTGTCAGGAATAATACATTTAAGAACAGATGTAATTCAGAGTATGAAACTACTACTGCAGGATAAGGAATTTAGATTTCACAGCAAATAAAGCCATATTTGATAGCATAGACACATGTTCCTATTTTCACATCCATCATTTATTAACAGCAAACATTACACTTAAACTTTTTCAGTTACACAGTACAATAAGTCTGTCAAGATTTCCAGGAAATAACCATCAGTACCAATGGTGCTTCCAGCAGTCACAGCTCAGCTGGCAGAGTACCAGAAATAAACACTTTTAGAAGAAGAGTCGCTCACACGGACTCATAGTAACTATTACAAGGAGCACTGACAAGTCACTTACTCATTTACAAAAATCCTACTTCAGTCTCCAACTGAGGCTCTGCAATTACAGCCATGGCTTCATCTCAGAGCAGTTCTTTGCACATCATGGCTTGTCGCTTCTTCTGTAAAACCTCTTGATTCTTAGAGGAATGACAGAGAATGCTCCCATGTGTTAAGCAGCTGCTGCTATCCAAGAGGCTACCTTGCCTTGGCAGTGTCCTAGCGGATGGTAACCCTCTCTCTCTCTCTCTCTCTCTCGTTGCTTTAGGCCAAGCCTCTTCTCAAATACTTCCTGGGAAGTACCCCTCCTTACATCTCCTCTTCTCAGTGGGATGTGAAGGGAGTCACATGTATAACACAGCTAGCTTAGATACCACTGTTTCGCAGCCAAGAGAATAATGAACATAATTGAAAATCAGAATGTATTAGTTAGAACAAATAAGGGCGACTGCAGAGGTTTTCCTATAATTACTACATGGAAACTATTGGAGGACCATATTTATTCTGCTTTTATGACAAGAGTTCATCACAAGAGAAGGGTAAATATTCAAAATTTAAGAGAATATATTCTAATTAAGCACCAGAGAGGGCCAGAGACAACCACATATACATATATGTATATGTGTATATATACACGCACCTACATACACATGTAAGTTTATTAAGGTAAGTAAAGGCTCTAATTAGGAAAACAAAATTGAAATAAGACAAATACATATAGGGATATATTGAGGTTATGTTTTAGTTATTTGTGTTAGCTATTTATTGTTAATTTAGCACGCATTTAGAATTCTGGGATTTTGAGGGCAGATAAATCAGTAATTAACCTTTTCCCCACAAATAGTGGTATCTTAAAAGCTTTAACAAAGCTAACAATGTAATTTAGTTCAGGATTGAAAAAAACAATATATGTAGAAAACCTATTTGAAAATATTCTAGAGTCTGATTTCCTAAAACAGATTACACGCTGCTGTTGACTATAACTGAGAACTATTTAAAGCAGCATAAAAATGCCTTTAAACTTTCAAAATATCTGAATAAAAACAAAGATCTTTCTTTTAGCCAAGATAGATACAATTCTGATTTATGGGACAAAAGGAGTCCTAAATTTATCCTTTCACATAACTTCACATGGCTTAGATTATTTTAGCAAGATGCATAATATGGATATCAAAGTCCAGTTTTACACATAGCATAAATCTTTAAATCTTTCATATGTTTAAATTCTGTAGGCTTTAGCTTCAGATGAAACTTTCAACTCAAAGAGTTAAGCAGAGATTTTTGAACAAGGTAAAAAGGATGAAATTTATGAAAACCTGAACTATAAAGTCAAAACAGTGATGCTACACCAATAACCATACTTCAATAAAGCACCCAATGCTCTAAAGAGCATAGTCCTCTTCCCCTGCCCCATCCTTCCTGGACTGTGCTATTATTTAATCTTTTATGTTTTTTTGCTGGAGGGCCTTAGAGTTCCTTTGAAAGTACGCTTAAAATACTTCCTCTCACAACTTGTTCTTACCACTCATTCTCAAATTGAGTTACTTCAGTGTATATCTTATGGCTATACTGCATAGACTACATTTGAAAACTTCTGGTGGAAATTCCAATCATGAAATTTCGAGATGGCATGGCTATTTATAATGAGCTGCTCTCTAGAAGAGTTTTTACACTTCAGAGAGCACACCTGGTAATAAGACATGAAATGCAATAAAACTATGGGAAGATAAGGTGCCCATAACGATGTTACCACAGCATGCACCATGCTAGGTGTGATACGTGACGTGGTTCTTACCCGTATTAAAGGAACCCTGTGATATGAGAGATTGTTGGGTCAAACTCATTCATAGAAAATGGTGAAAGTCATTAGCCAAGCAGTGCTTGTGAACGGTCTGAGTAAGAGGGGTAGTGCCTTGCCTTTTCCTGTCAAACTTCTCATTAATCCAAGTGTGTTCTGCTATCATCTTCCAGTCAATGATGATCGTGCTCATGCACGTGACATCTTCGTGGGAGAGACTAGGCTGACTGAAAAATAATGATGACCAACCAGTTTACCCTGACATAGCTCATGTCATAATTTCAGTAATGTAATAAAGGGCAGCCACAAAGCCATGGGGTGAAACGCATGTTGGTGGGCTGGTCTCCACAGTTTTCAAGATCCTTCACCCTCCCAACTGCATTCCTTGTCCTAACAAGGGAAAACAGCAAGATCCTAAACTCTTTGAAGTCCCAGGTGCCATAGTGGCGTGGCATAATTGCCGCTTTGTTTGTTTGTTTGTTTTGCCCTTATCAGCATAGGAGAAGTCTATTTCCATACCTCAGTCTTTATACTAGCACTTCCACTAGGTACCTTGTAAAATGAAAGTAGACAAGTTTTCCAACATTGGTCGTATAAGATCTAATGAGATGATTACATTCAAACCAGGCTGAGCTCTTAATGTGAGTTCCTTTAGCCACTTGGTTTTGTAAAATGAAGGGAAAAAATTCCAACAGGCAATCTGCAATGGCAAGGACCGGAATGCAGAGTTCATCACTGTCTTCCTAAGGATATAATTAAACCTTAATGGAATTCTGATGCTTCTACGAAGTTCATAATTCACCATCATCCCTCATCATATTTTGTTCTTTCCATTGTTACCACTTCAGATATTTCAGTACTGCCCATCACGCACCACTGAAAAGTGATTATATTTATTTCCACTTCTTTCTCCAGTGGTCTAGGTGATTTGGACTAGGAGCCCCAAGTACCAATGGAAAAGTCGAATCTTTAAAAATCTTCAATGTTTTAAACACTTAGCAAAAAGAGAACTACTTATAATATAGCTTATGTGCTTTATGTGGTCTTTTCAAAATGAGTATAAATCATTGTACATAAAATCGAAATAGTTAATATACATTTTTTTCCTGGCACTTTCTAGAAATTAGGCATTAAACATAAAACATCTTATAAATTTATATAACAAAAATAAATGTTTACATTTTAATCTTGGATTACCTTAGGGTAGCAGTTAATTTAGGAAACCCCACACTATGGTGTGGACAGCAGAGATCATTGGAAACACCCATTCACACCCCACAGCTCTTCAGATGCCATTGCTGCTGGCCAAATTTATGGTCTGTGTCTCAACATAAAGATTAAGGCTCTCTGTTTTGAAGGAATGAGCTCTGGGCTTAAACAAGTATACAGAAGTACCATAATATCCATTACAGATACTGAAAAGGCTATGAAGAATTTCCAAACACTGGGGTTGAGAGAAAACACTTTAACTAGAAAAATAAAATAAAGCATCTAAAACTGACTTCAAGTACGTTAGGGGAAAGACTGCTGATGCCGAGTGCCAAATATAAAGGAATAAAGTCCTAAGAGACTCGAGGGATGTCCCTGTTCAATCCTGTTCACCTGCAGGGTTCGATTCCCAGGTACTGACACTGTGGCTCTTTGTGGAGGACTGGTGAGCTGGACAGTAACCAGCAGCCCCAGTTTCTCCCAATCCTAAAATAAGTATGTGGAAGGCAAAGGCCAAGTCTTGGGGGAGAATTTTCTTGGAAAGAACCATAAAATTAGACAACTTCGGGGGACCAAAAAGTCATACATTTTAAAGTCAATAGCAGACAGTAGAGAGGAAGGAAATCCTGGCTCTTCTGAATGGCAGTATTTTAAGCAGGTTTTCCTGGTCAGTTGGCTTTCTTCCTAACAGAATAAAACCACTGACAGTCGGGCCATTCACAGAGGTGGAGGGTGCAGGATGGAGACGAGCCCAGGTGTGCCCATCTCCCCCAGAGGCAGGTGCACCCTCTGGTGCAGCAACGTACCTCACTGTTTCAGAACCTGGAGAAAACATCACAGCATCTCCAATTGTCTTCAGCCTACTAAAGCAGCATATCAAGTATAGGTTTATGTCCATCCTGACCTTCCATGGAAGAAACGTCCCCACCTGCTGACCACCGTCTACCTGGAGTTGTCCTCTGGGTTGCTAGAGCCTGGTGGTATCTCTGCACTGCTGCAAGTCCCCGATGCTCTCGTAGTCGTTCTCCTTTGGAACGAGACCCGGGTGATCGTGGGTCTCCAGGGTGGACTTTTCCTCTTCTCTGTTAAGAGTCTGTATCGCTTCATAATCGGGCTCTGGCTCCTCGCTGAGCCTCCTTGCTGCTGGCAGTGTGCTTACACTGTTTGGCGTCTTCTCGAAGTCCTTAACAGTGGCATAGAGATCATTACAAGAAGAGGGTGACCTCTGAGGGACCCCCTGAATGGAGGTGTAGGTAGACTCTGGTGCTTTAAGCAACTGTCCTGACTTATTCATTGACTGTCCAGGTTTATTCACTGATGAGTACATGGCTGAGATCTAGGACACAAAAGGTGAATTAAATAAGCACACTTTCAAAGCTGTGACTTGGGACCAGCAGTTAGTGTAATAGCTATGTTGCTGGATTCCCACGTAGTCGACTGCAGTTCACGTCCCGGACCCGGTGGCTTAAAACTGGTGCTGGGTGCGTGTGCATGTGTGCCCAAGATCCCAAGAGGAGAATGGAGGAGAAGGGATTGCGGTGTGGCCATCCCCCCTGGGGGGTAATTTCTCGCTTTCTGTCTCTCTCTGTCTGGCGAGCGCACGTGCCCTATAGCAAAAACCTCTAAAAAAGAAAAATAGCTGTGACTTTTCCCTCCCCCTTTTAAGTGACAAGCTACATCTTATGTTTAGCACTCAGGCATGTGTGTGTCCCTTTAAGATTTGTCTTTGCTAATATGTATTAATTCTGGAATACATTACCAAAGAATAATGATGCAGCATCATCTGTGGCTTTGCTTTCTGTGGTCTTGGTTATCCATGGTAAACATGGACTGGAATATCATCACGGCTCATCAGAGCTCGATGATCCAGGAGCACTGGAAGCAGATGCTCCTCCTCCTCCACAGTCAGGACAACAGTGGCCTAACTCTGTCACGAGGCCTACGTCATTTACCTCACTTCAACTCATCCCCTAGGCATTTATCATCTCACAGCATCATGAGACGTGGGTAAGTATGATACAGAAAGATGTATTAAGAGAGACATCACATTTATATGATGGTTAAAGTACATTGCTATAATTCTTTTATTATTATTATTAATAATCTCTTATGATGTCTAACTGATGAATTAAACTTTATCATAGGTACGGATGTACAGGAAAAAACAGTACAGATTGAGAATCCCTAATTTGAACATCTGAAATCCAAAATGCTCCAAAATCCAAAACTTTTGAGCCCCAAGGAGAAAATTCCACCCTGATTCCATGTGATAGGCTGCAGTTAAGATGCTGCTATAGGGGCCAGCAGGTGGCATGGTGGTTAGAGTGCTCGAGTCCCACATGGGGGACTATGGAGGAGTGCCAGACCTTGTGGCTTGAAACTCACACTGGGCACTTGAAATTCACAGTGTGCATGACTGCCCAAGATCTTAGGAGAAGAATGTAGGAGTAGAGATTGCGGCATGGCCATCCTCCCTGGGGAGTGATTTCTCACTTTCCTCCTTACTATGTCTGTCTGTCTGTCTCTCTATTTCTCCAGTGAGAGCAAATGCCCTAAGGCAAAAACCTCTTTAAAAAAAGAAAAAGATGCTGCTATACAAAAATGTATAAAATTACCTTCAGACTATATGTATAAGGTATATATAAATGTAAATGAATTTTATGTTTAGACTTGGGTCCCATTCCTAAGATAACTCGCTATGGAAGTACAAATATTCCAAAATACACCCCCCCCCGCAGAAAAAAATCTAAACTCTCAAATCCTTCTGATCTGAAGTATTTAGGATAATGGATACAAAACTGGTATACAGGGGCCAGCAGGTGGCATGGTGGTTAAGGTGCTGGACTCCCCCATGACCAAATGCAGTTTGAGTCCCGAATCTGGTGGCTTGCTTTCTCACTTTCTGTTTCTCTTTCTGTCTCTCTCTGATGAACTGAATAATAATCATAAAGAAATAAATATAATTAAATAAATAATTCTTTAAAAAATCTGTATATATAAGGTTTGGTACTCTCTGTGGTTTCAGGAGTCCACTGAGGGTCTTGGAACATATCCAAGGATGAGGGGGAAATAATATGCATGTTATCTTTAACTTCATGAATAGATCAGTTGTATTTGCTTAATTCCATGAAAACTGAGTTCTCTCTGGGTGTGCTGAGGGGTCTCAGGAGAGCATGCAAAGTGGGCAGCTCTAGAGCCTCTTGGACCTGACCAAAATGCCATGTGTTATATGATTTTTACATAGAATGTTTCACTGAAGAATTTCTACTGCTTTATAAAAAGATAGAAAATATATATTATACCTGTGATTGTCAAAACGTGAGATTCAACCCAGCAGCAGCAGGATCTGGGAATTTATCAGAAAGGCTAGTCCTCAGTCTCCACCCCTAAACCCTGAGTCAGAAACTTGAGGAGGGGAGACTGTAATCCATGCTGATTTCAATGCCCATTAAGTGTGAGATCCCCTGAATTAGACTATGCCGTGATTCCTGCATCAAAGGGGTTGCTGGATTTTGCTGGGTGGCATATGCTTATCCGTAAGGGTATTGTTTTTCATGAGTTTTTGACTTGTTGCATGTTATTGATTAAAATGACATTTACAGACCTGGGCTCAGTTCCCTTTGTTGGGAACATTCATCTCTGCAATTAACCAACTCAGAAATGAAATTCAAAGGCAATTGATGGGATGATTTTTCCTATGGTAAAAGCAGGCTGTTTTCCAAGCACATCTCCTCAGTCTCACTCTTCGACCTGTAAAATCTCTCATACCAAGAGGGAATTAAGTCTTTGGTAACAGTAGATCAAATGTATTATTGTATTGTTAGAAATACAATAGAAAATAAGTAACCATAAATCTCTCATTACCTAAATTTATTTTTACTACAGCAATGGACTCATTCCAACAACCAGGAAACAGTCATGCTTTCTGACAGATGCTTGGCTTCCCGTGTGCCTGGGGACATTTTCCTGCCCCCACATGTCTTACTTATGTATGTGAAATTTCCAGTTGGCCCCAGAAGGTTAAGACAGGCCTGCTGCATGCTAACTGGTCATTTGCATGAGAACCTTCACTACCCGCCGAGCTGGTGGCTCAGTTTTGCTAGGTTTTGACTACACAAAGATTGACACTTAGAGAAGTAGTCTTTGGAAAACTCCTGCCATGTTGGTTGGACCATTCTTTTTTTTTTTTAGAGGTGTTTGCTATAGGGCATGTGCGCTTGCCACAGACACAGAGAGACATAGAGACAGAAAGCGAGAAATCGCCCCTGGGGGGGAAGGCCAGCCGCAATCCCTTCTCCTCCATTCTCCTCTCGGGATCTTGGGCACGCACGCACATGCACCCGGTGTGAGTTTAAGCCACCGGGTCTGGAAGTTGAACCATGGTGGACTACATGGGAGTTCAGCGACATAACCATTATGCTAACTGCTGGTCCCGATCAGACCATTCTTATGAATGTCAAATTAACCTTATCACCTTAGAGGTTTTAACAGAAAAAGTGCTTTCAAAATAGAATGGGATAGAACATTGACTCTTGGAATGAATCTATTGGATTGTTGCACAGAAAAATATGTCATGACTTTCCTGACAACCTAATAGCATGCAGGAAGTGCTACTGTACATTTCAATCTTTGCCAAAGCTTTTTAAGTCTTCTAATATTCCTTTAGAATATTTGTCTTCTTTGACTATTTCTATTTTGAAAAAAGTTATTTAATTTTATTTATTATCATCATTTTATAATTTTATATAGGACACCTGTGCTTACCAAAGAGAGACAGAGAAAGAGAGTGAGAAAGCAAGCCACCAGGTCCAGGATTCCAACTGTGGTCAGCCATGTGGGAGTTCAGTGCCTCAACTACCACGCTACTTACTGATCTAAACTATTTCCATTTTATATAGAGGTTTTTCTTTAAACTCCCATGCTGTTTAGCTTTTCACTCTTTAAATTCTTTCATTTTTATTACTCTTTCTATAAATCATTGTTATAGTCTCATAAATACTCTCTTTTTCTTTTCTCTTCTCTTTATAATTAATACTTTCCCTATCATCCTGTTAAATTGGGCTAAGGATACTTGCAGCTCAGACCTCAGTTTCAGCTTGGATTAACGTTAATTACTGAATACAATGTTCTGTGTTTATTTTTCTTAAATCTTCTTCCTAAAATGAATGTTTGTGAATTACAGCTCTTCATGTTAAAATTCATCATTATAACTAGGTCCTATTTCACAAAACCACAAACAAAAATAAGATGAGAAGTAATTTTAAATTTTGTGGAGTTGTGATTTATTTTAAAGGATTTGTTTTCAAATCTCCTATATATTTTGCCATTTTTGTCCCAAATGGAATGTCTCTAGTCTACAGTATAGAAAACAGACTGGAGAAAGGTGAGAGAGCTGCCTAGGGACCTGGCAGAAAAGGACTGCCTTGGTCTAGTGAGGGGTGGTCACAGAGAAGAAGAGGAAGAGGACTGCACAAAAGAACAGTTTGGAGGTGCAGTTGAAGGCACCAGGCAGTTGACTGCATCTGAGGAAGCCCAGGGCTTTGGCTTGTGCAACCAAATGAACAGATAGCAGGTCCATTCTCTGCAGGGAGTAAAGGGGTGGGCATTCTTACCTAAGGAAAGCACTTTGGCTCCTTAAACTTCCAATGTGGGTATCTACCTCTGTGTTTCAGCACTTTACCAAGTCCTATACAAAACTGGTATACAGGGGCCAGCAGGTGGCATGGTGGTTAAGGTGCTGGACTCCCCCATGACCAAATGCAGTTTGAGTCCCGAATCTGGTGGCTTGCTTTCTCACTTTCTGTTTCTCTTTCTGTCTCTCTCTGATGAACTGAATAATAATCATAAAGAAATAAATATAATTAAATAAATAATTCTTTAAAAAATCTGTATATATAAGGTTTGGTACTCTCTGTGGTTTCAGGAGTCCACTGAGGGTCTTGGAACATATCCAAGGATGAGGGGGAAATAATATGCATGTTATCTTTAACTTCATGAATAGATCAGTTGTATTTGCTTAATTCCATGAAAACTGAGTTCTCTCTGGGTGTGCTGAGGGGTCTCAGGAGAGCATGCAAAGTGGGCAGCTCTAGAGCCTCTTGGACCTGACCAAAATGCCATGTGTTATATGATTTTTACATAGAATGTTTCACTGAAGAATTTCTACTGCTTTATAAAAAGATAGAAAATATATATTATACCTGTGATTGTCAAAACGTGAGATTCAACCCAGCAGCAGCAGGATCTGGGAATTTATCAGAAAGGCTAGTCCTCAGTCTCCACCCCTAAACCCTGAGTCAGAAACTTGAGGAGGGGAGACTGTAATCCATGCTGATT